CAGATGGAGAGACAGCAGAGAGAGAGACCACAGAGGGAGAGACCACAGAGGGAGAGACCACAGAGGGAGAGACCACAGAGAGAGAGACCACAGAGGGAGAGACCAGAGAGGGAGAGACCAGAGAGGGAGAGACCAGAGAGGAGGGAGAGACCAGAGAGGGAGATACCAGAGAGTGAGAGACCAGAGAGTGAGAGACCAGAGAGTGAGAGACCAGAGAGTGAGAGACCAGAGAGTGAGAGACCAGAGAGTGAGAGACCAGAGAGTGAGAGACCAGAGAGTGAGAGACCAGAGAGTGAGAGACCAGAGAGTGAGAGACCAGAGAGGGAGAGACCAGAGAGGGAGAGACCAGAGAGGGAGAGACCAGAGAGGGAGAGACCAGAGAGGGAGAGACCAGAGAGGGATAGACCACAGAGGGATAGACCACAGAGGGAGAGACCACAGAGGGAGAGACCACAGAGGGAGAGACCAGAGAGGGATAGACCACAGAGGGATAGACCACAGAGGGATAGACCACAGAGGGATAGACCACAGAGGGATAGACCACAGAGGGAGAGACCACATAAAGAGAGACCACAGAGAGACCGACCACAGAGGGAGAGACCACAGAGGGAGAGACCACATAAAGAGAGACCACAGAGAGACCGACCACAGAGGGAGAGACCACAGAGGGAGAGACCACATAAAGAGAGACCACATAGAGACCGACCACAGAGGGAGAGACCAGAGAGTGAGAGACCACAGAGGGATAGACCACAGAGGGATAGACCACATAGAGACCGACCACAGAGGGAGAGACCACAGAGGGAGAGACCACAGATGGAGAGACAGCAGAGAGAGAGACCACAGAGGGAGAGACCACAGAGGGAGAGACCAAGAGGAGAGACCACAGAGAGAGAGACCACAGAGGGAGAGACCAGAGAGGGAGAGACCAGAGAGGGAGAGACCAGAGAGGAGGGAGACCAGAGAGGGAGAGACCAGAGAGGGAGAGACCAGAATAAGAGAAACCAGTGAGAGAGAAACCAGTGAGAGAGGGACCAGAGAGAGAGACCAGAGAGAGAGAGAACAGAGAGAGAGAGACCAGAGAGAGAGAAACCAGTGCGAGAGAAACCAGTGAGAGAGAAACCAGTGAGAGAGGGACCAGAGAGAGAGACCAGAGAGAGACCAGTGCATCAAATAGTGAACACAGGGAAACACATTTTCTGATGAGATGAAGAAACAGCAGGTTTTGGATTTTCACAGTGAGACTTTTCTCTCACTTCAGAGCAGATTGTGGCCTGAACTTCCTGCTTTTGGTCAGACCCAAAACTACAAACGTCTTTAGGCACGACTGTTTGTGGCTTTTACTTGAATTCCAGATTCTAGATTCTTGAATTCTAATTATTTCGCATTATTTTCTGCCCTAGAAACACGACAATGGCACGATTTACATCTGTATACAGTCTGTAGTTAGCATTGTCCATCTGTATACAGTCTGTGTTAGCATTAGTAGCATCTGTATACAGTCTGTGTTAGCATTGTCATTCTGTATACAGTTCTGTGTTAGCATCTTTAGGCATCTGTATACAGTCTGTGTTTAGCATTGTCCCATCTGTATACAGTCTGTGATAGCATTAGCATTGTATACAGTCTGTGTTAGCATTGTCCATCTGTATAACAGTCTGTGTTAGCATTAGCATCTGTATACATTCTTGTGTTAGCATTGTCCCATCTTATACTGTCTGTGTTTAGCATTAGCATCTGTATACAGTCTGTGGTTAGCATTGTCCATCTTTGTATACAGTCTGTGTTAGCATTAGATCTGTTATACAATATTCTGTTAATACAGTCTGTGTGTTAGCATTGTCCTCTGTATACAGTCTGTGTTAGCATTAGCATCTGTATACAGTCTGTGTTAGCATTGTCCATCTGTATACATAGTAGACTATAAAGCACATGCTTCTCTGATGTGAACTCACTTCTGCTCTGAAACTCTGCTGCTTCCTCTGTCGCTGCACCAGCTGCCTCGGGCACTTTCAAATCTCCAAAAGATGGAACGAACATCTCACGTGCTGTTGTGGCACACTGTGGGACTGTCAGCAACACTGTGTTCGAAAATCAGCTTAAAAGAACGGTATAAAAGCAAGAAAAATACTCTTGTAAACACGGCATGAGCCCTCAGTCCTTGATCTACAGCCTCAGTCCTGGGTCTGCAGCCTCAGTCCAGGGTCTACAGCCTCAGTCCTGGGTCTACAGCCTCAGTCCTGGGTCTACAGCCTCAGTCCTGGTCTCAGTCCTGGGTCCGCAGCCTCAGTCCTGGGTCTGCAGCCTCAGTCCTGGGTCCTGCAGCCTCAGTCCTGGGTCTTGCAGCCTCAGTCCTGGGTCCTGCAGCCTCAGTCCTGGGTCTGCAGCCTCAGTCCTGGGTCTACAGCCTCAGTCCTGGGTCTGCAGCCTCAGTCCTGGGTCTGCGCCTCAGTCCTGGGTCTGCAGCCTCAGTCCTGGGTCTGCAGCCTCAGTCCTGGGTCTACAGCCTCAGTCCTGGGTCTGCAGCCTCAGTCCTGGGTCTGCAGCCTCAGTCCTGGGTCTGCAGCCTCAGTCCTGGGTCTACAGCCCTCAGTCCTGGGTCTGCAGCCTCAGTCCTGGGTCTACAGCCTCAGTCCTGGGTCTACAGCCTGCAGTCCTGGGTCCGCAGCCTCAGTCCTGGGTCTACAGCCTCAGTCCTGGGTCTGCAGCCTCAGTCCTGGGTCTGCCGCCTCAGTCCTGGGTCTGCAGCCTCAGGTCCTGGGTCTGCCGCCCTCAGTCCTGGGTCTGCAGCCTCAGTCCTGGAGTCCGCAGCCTCAGTCCTGGGTCTACAGCCTCAGTCCTGGGTCTACAGCCTCAGTCCTGGGTCTGACCGCCTCAGTCCTGGATCTTCAGCAGTCAGTCCTGGGTCTACAGCCTCAGTCCTGGGTCTGCACCTCAGTCCTGGGTCTACCCGCCTCTGTCCTGGTCTGCAGCCTCAGTCCAGGGTCTATCTACCGTTCCACCCCATCATAGTAAAAACACAAATCTATTGATAGTTTTATATTTCCTTTATTGAAGATGGATTGATGCTAAACTGATAAACAGTGGGTCGACTGCAGACCCTTGATTTCACTCAGTTCCTTTTGTCGCTTTTGCAATTTCCCCAAAACTGTCAGACTGTTCACTTCTGCTTCTTTTGCTTTAATTTTTAACTTCAGAACCCTGTGTTTTACTCTACTCTACTCTACTCCATTCAATGTATTTGAGTGTGTTCACAGTAAAGTGACAATTGAAGTATCTGGACTTTAAAAGGTTATACCTTAAAAACTAAAATTGCCTTCATAGATTGGAAGAAAGTTTTAAAACACAGACACATTAAAGAGATAGTGTGGAAAAAATCTAAAGGAAAGATTGACATAAAAATGTTTAGCAACATTTTAAACGACCAAATGAGCCTCTGATTGGACCATTCTACTGTCCTGGGTCTACAGCCTCAGTCCTGGATCCACAGCCTCAGTCCTGGGTCTACAGCCTCAGTCCTGGATCCACAGCCTCAGTCCTGGGTCTACAGCCTCAGTCCTGGATCCACAGCCTCAGTCCTGGGTCTACAGCCTCAGTCCTGGATCCACAGCCTCAGTCCTGGGTCTACAGCCTCAGTCCTGGATCCACAGCCTCAGTCCTGGATCCACAGCCTCAGTCCTGGGTCTACAGCCTCAGTCCTGGATCCACAGCCTCAGTCCTGGATCCACAGCCTCAGTCCTGGATCCACAGCCTCAGTCCTGGGTCTACAGCCTCAGTCCTGGATCCACAGCCTCAGTCCTGGGTCTACAGCCTCAGTCCTGGATCCACAGCCTCAGTCCTGGATCTACAGCCTCAGTCCTGGGTCCACAGCCTCAGTCCTGGATCTACAGCCTCAGTCCTGGATCTACAGCCTCAGTCCTGGATCCACAGCCTCAGTCCTGGTTGAATTTCAATAATGATTATTTTGTCTGCGCTGGGACAGAATCTGTGGGATTCCCCGGAGTCTCAGTTACAGCTGTTTTTTTTTTTTGGACATTCTGCAAATTTTTCCCTGAGACAAAAGAACTTTTATTGCTGCCGCTGTGAACGAGACCTGTTAAAGCTGCGGTACCTAAATAAACATGATTTATTTTGTGTAAGAAAGAGCCCTGTGAGTCACTATTTGACTCTTTGGGCTGAGAGCTGATTGGCTGAGCCAATACAAGCATGAGAAAACTAGTGAGAGAGAAAGAGAGAGATGTGGGTGTGTGGTTGGGTGGGTTCAGAGCCCTCTGTGACGCAGGGGTTTGCAACAGTGACGTTTAATCCACCCACATAAGCATCGGCATAGACTGTATACTGTTAAATATACTGTATACTACTGTATACTATTGTATACTGTTTACCATTGTATATACTGTATACTATTGTACATACTGTATACTATTGTACATACTGTATACTATTGTATATACTGTTTACCATTGTATATACTGTATACTATTGTATATACTGTATACTGTTTACCATTGTATATACTGTTTACCATTGTATATACTGTATACTATTGTACATACTGTATACTATTGTACATACTGTATACTATTGTATATACTGTTTACCATCGTATATACTGTATACTATTGTATATACTGTATACTATTGTATACTGTTTTACCATTGTATATACTGTATACTATTGTACATACTGTATACTATTGTATACTGTTTACCATTGTATATACTGTATACTATTGTACATACTGTATACTATTGTATATACTGTTTACCATTGTATATATTGTATACTATTGTACATACTGTACTTTATACTATTGGGATTCATTAAGCTAGCTTAGTGCTCAGAGAGAAGTTTTGCTCCAACACTGAGGCTCCTATTGAACTACATGTAAAGAGAGAGAAACGACACACTCTGGTCTGATTCGTTCCCAGCAACATTTTACAATTATCTGATGTATCATTCATGGACCCCAGCTTTAATAACTTCTCCTCGTGTGCAGTTCCCAGAGAGCAGCTGCTGCAGACGGAGGAGTACGACCTGAACGTGGTGCGTCTGTGCATCCAGGTGACTCTGCAGGACGACAGCGGGGCCTTCAGCAGAGCTCTGAGCCCCATCGTCTCCAACCCCATCTACGACAACAGTAAGACAGCAAGGAGGGTTTCTCTCTCTGATGTCTGCTCTCTCTCTCTATCGCTGGTATCTCTCCAGTCTCTCGCTCTACTCTCTCAGGTCTCTCTCTTTTCTCTCTCAGGTCTCTCTCTGGTCTCCCTCTGGTCTCTCTCTGGTCTCCCTCTGGTCTCTCTCTGGTCTCTCTCTGGTCTCCCTCTGGTCTCCCTCTGGTCTCCCTCTGGTCTCTCTCTGGTCTCCCTCTGGTCTCTCTCTGGTCTCCCTCTGGTCTCCCTCTGGTCTCTCTGGTCTCCCTCTGGTCTCCCTCTGGTCTCTCTCTGGTCTCTCTCTGGTCTCCCTCTGGTCTCCCTCTGGTCTCTCTTTGGTCTCCCTCTGGTCTCCCTCTGGTCTCCCTCTGGTCTCCCTCTGGTCTCCCTCTGGTCTCTCTCTGGTCTCCCTCTGGTCTCTCTTTGGTCTCTCTGGTCTCTCTCTGGTCTCTATCTAGTTGACTCTCTGATCTCTCTCTCTTTACATTGGTCCATAGGGAACGGGACCACCATTAATTCATCCTTTCATTAATTCATTTGTCTTTGATCCGTATTCAGATATCAGTGTACATGTGTGTTTTGTTCAAACCCAGAGGCTGAAACAGGAAGTGCAGCGTTGCCATGGCGCACTTCCTCTTTGATCATGTGACCTGTGGCAGCTTTAAACAGGATCTCGAGGCTCTTTACTTTGCTGTGTTATGTTTTATCAGTAACATCTAACATTTCTGGCTGTAATGTAAGACGAGGCAGCTGTGGTTTGACTGAAAAACTAATGTCAAAGGTCAGAGGTGACATCACAACTCAGACAACAGCAGCGTGTGGAGGAGATGTGTAAAAATGATAGCACAAGGAGAGAGGAGGAGAGGAGAGGGGGAGGAGGAGAGAAAGGAGAGGTAGGAGGGGAGAAAGGAGAAGAAAGAGAGGGGAGAGAGGAGGGAAAGGAGAGGAAAGAGAGGGGAGACAAAGGAGGAGAGAGAAAGAGCAGAGAGAAGGGGAGACTGGAGGAACGAAAGGAGAGAATAGAGAGGATAGAGGAGAAAGGAAAAGGAGACAGAAAGAAGGAGAGCTGTAACTTGATTTCCCAAAAGTAATAAACTTTCTCAATCTTTTTTTAACTGTTTGTGTGTGTGCGTCTGTGTGTGTGTGTGCGTGTGTGTGTCTGTTTGTGTGTGCGTGTGTGTGTGTCTGTGTGTGTGATGTGTGGATGTGTGTGTGCGTGTGTGTCTGTGCGTGTGTGTTGTGTGTGTGTGTGTGTGTGCGTGTGTGTCTGTGTGTGTGTGTGCGCGTGTGTGTGTGTGTGTGCGTGTGTGTCTGTGCGTGTGTGTGTGTGTGTCTGTGTGTGTGTGTGTGTCTGTGTGTGTGTGTGTCTGTGTGTGTGTGTGTGTCTGTGTGTGCATGTGTGTGTGTGTGTGTGTCTGTCTGTGTGTGTGTGTGTGTGTGTAGGATCCCCAAACACGGCGGAGCTGAGGATCTGTCGAGTCAACAGAAACACTGGGAGCGTTAAAGGAGACGACGAGATTTTTCTCCTGTGCGACAAAGTGCAGAAAGGTGAGACTTCTGAAGCGAAGCAGGGCAGGGCCTGGTTAGAACTGTGATGGGAGACACCAGGAACACCAGGTGCCACAGTGGAGCGGCTGTAAAGTGCCAAACTGTGGTTGTGTCCTTAGGCAAGACACTTCCCCCACATTAGAATGAGTCTGGTGTGTGTGTGAATGGTTGGTGGAGGTGGGGATGTAGGGATGTAAATCGGTGACCGTTTAACCCGTGGTTGACCGTCAGAGCGTTAACCGGTCAAAGCTGTCGGTTAAAAAAAAGAAAAAGGGGAGGTCTCTTAATAACGCTATTTTAAGCCCTATTTGCACGTGTGACGAGCAGTCTCTAGCACACCTAGAGACCGACCCGCACCCATATTAGTAAACTCCTGGCCGAGTTTCATGCCGAACGCGCCGCACATGCACGCACGCACACACACATCGCATCATCTCTCCCTTCTGTTACCGCCAAAGTTGCACACTGGTGCGGGTCAGAACTACCTTGGAGCTTACATTTACACACACATACATGTGCACACATACACACATATACACACACACATACCGGTCTGTCGCGCTCCTCTGTGTCACGCAGCCCAAACGATCCTCAAATACGCGGCTCCAGTCAAACCACATCAACCGGTTAATGAGGCTCGGTGGTCGGTCATGAAAATTCATAGTTTTTTACATCTCTAGTGGGAGGGGCCAATGGTTTCCTCACTTCAGTCAGTGTGCCCCAGGGCAGCTGTGGCTACAGTAGTAGTTTATCACCACCGGGTTTGGAGTGAATGAATAATGACATGAAGTGCCTTTAAGCGTCAAGAAAAGCGCATTGATCGTTTTTATTGAATATTAAAAGACGAACAGGACACAACGAGCAGAACAGAGACGTTTATTAAAATATTTATGTATTTATTTCTTAAAGTTTTGAGTTTAAATCATATGGAAAGCCCCACATTTATATACTCCTACTCACTGGCTCCTCAACCTCCTCTCCCCCTTCCTCTCTCCCTCCTCTCTCCTCCCCCTCTCCTCTCTCCCTCTTCCTCTCCTCCCTCTCTCTCCTCTCTTTTCTCTCCCTCCTTCCCCCTCTCAGACGACATCGAGGTGCGGTTCTTCTCCGCAGACGGCTGGGAGGCTAAAGGCTCCTTCTCTCAGGCAGACGTCCACAGACAGGTGGCGCTAGTGTTCAGGACTCCTCCCTTCTACAATCCGTCCATCACTGAGTCCGTGTGTGTCCAACTGCAGCTGAGGAGGCCTTCGGACCAGGAAGTCAGCGAGCCAATCAGCTTCAGATACCTGCCCGACGACAAGGGTGAGAGAGGGGAGATTCAAATTCCTACCTGAAGACAAGGGTGAGAGAGGGGGAGGGAGGAGAGAGAGGGAGAGCGTATACAAGCCTAATGACAAGGGTGAGAGCAGAGGGACATGAGTGAGAGAGGGGGGAGTGAACTGAAATAGATAGATAGATACTTTATTGATCCCCCGAAGGAGAAATTCAGGTGTCCAGTAGTAGCAAAAATAAAATTGATCATTCTAAAAAAAAGATAACTATAGCAATAATCAGCCACAGCCCTTCAGGTCACAGCAGCAGAGGTGGAGTAGCCTCTGGGTGGAGCAGGACGGGTCACAGCAGCAGAGGTGGAGTAGCCTCTGGGTGGAGCAGGACGGGTCACAGCAGCAGAGGTGGAGTAGCCTCTGGGTGGAGCAGGACGGGTCACAGCAGCACCATTTTCTCTGCTCTAGTCCAAAGTAAAATGCTAAATGCTTCATTAGCATTTTTCAAAAAGTTAGCATTTCTCCAGTGGATTTCCACCTGATCCGCTTGGTTTGGACCATGAGTCCTCTGCTCCGGTCTGGACCAGTGCAAAACTTTGCACATTGTACTGAAGCAACATCTCAGGCAGAAAAAAAGCAGTAAAAATAAAAATTGTAAAGCACAAAACAACAACTGTTAATCAGAGCTACTAAGGACTTGCAGCCGTTACCCAGCGCATCTTTAAAAATAAAAATAAGTCTGTGTTTAAAGTTTCATTCACCCACAATAGTCAGGATGATCACATGACCTCTTCCCTCAGACCCGTACGGATGCCACGAGAAGAAACGCAAACGAGAAAATCTGATGAAGCTGGCGTCGCTGCAGTCGCCAGGTCTGACATTCATCCATTCAATTTTTCCTTTGAGTTTCAATGGTTCTTTTCTGGTTCTTTTGACTGATTCTATAGCATAAAATAAAGTGCTGTAAATACACAAGGCGACTCAAAGTGCTAAACAATCTCATCCAATCGTGTTGTGTGACATTCTACTTCCAGGGAATTCTTTTGGTTTGAGCGGGAGTCGACCGATGGCGACGGCGTCTAAAGGTCTGCGCAGAGGTGAGCGTCCGCACACCGCATCTTGAGACACGTTTATCCTGCTTTAGAATTCTTTTTTAAACATGGTCTATGATATAATGTGGAGAGTGCTTCTGCTCTCTAGTCTCTCTGGTCTCTCTCACTGGTCTCTCTCTGGTCTCTCTCTGGTCTCTCTCTCTCTGGTCTCTCTCTCTGGTCTCTCTCTCTGGTCTCTCTCTCTGGTCTCTCTCACTGGTCTCTCTCACTGGTCTCTCACTGGTCTCTCTCTCTCTCTCTCTGGTCTCTCTCTCTGGTCTCTCTCTCTGGTCTCTCTCTCTCTGCTCTCTCTCTCTCTCTGTTCTGATCACTTTGGGACGTCCTTGGTGCGGGGCAGAACATGTTAACCAGCGTCCCCAGAATGTGTCTGGTTTTTTAGTCCTGACACTTCTCTTCTTGAGGAAGAGGAACACGTGACGTTACTTTGGCCTCTGAGGTTACGCAAGAGCAGAGTTTTGTGTCTGTAGCGAAGTGAAAGTGAAACAGACCAAAAATGGCTTTTCATATTTGAGAAACTGATTAAATTACTGTTTAGCCCCGCCCATGCTCACCCTTGATTGGCTGAAATAATTTGAAATCCTTGAAGATCCAGGACTGAGGCCGTAGATCCAGGACTGAGGCCGTAGACCCAGGACTGAGGCTGTAGATCCAGGACTGAGGCTATAGACCCAGGACTGAGGTTGTGAATCCAGGACTGCGGCTGTGGATCCAGGACTGAGGCTGTGGATCCAGGACTGAGGCTGTAGACCCGATACTGAGGCTGTAGACCCGAGACTGAGGCCGTAGACCCAGGACTGAGGCCGTAGACCCAGGACTGAGGCTGTAGATCCAGGACTGAGGCTATAGACCCAGGACTGAGGCTGTGAATCCAGGACTGAGGCTGTGGATCCAGGACTGAGGCTTTGGATCCAGGACTGAGGCTGTGGATCCAGGACTGAGGCTGTAGACCCGAGACTGAGGCCGTAGACCCAGGACTGAGGCCGTAGACCCAGGACTGAGGCCGTAGACCCAGGACTGAGGCCGTAGACCCAGGACTGAGGCCGTAGACCCAGGACTGAGGCCGTAGACCCAGGACTGAGGCCGTAGACCCAGGACTGAGGCCGTAGACCCAGGACTGAGGCCGTAGACCCAGGACTGAGGCCGTAGACCCAGGACTGAGGCCGTAGACCCAGGACTGAGGCCGTAGACCCAGGACTGAGGCCGTAGACCCAGGACTGAGGCCGTAGACTCAGGACTGAGGCCGTAGACCCAGGACTGAGGCCGTAGACTCAGGACTGAGGCCGTAGACCCAGGACTGAGGCCGTAGACCCAGGACTGAGGCCGTAGACCCAGGACTGAGGCCGTAGACCCAGGACTGAGGCCGTAGACCCAGGACTGAGGCCGTAGACCCAGGACTGAGGCCGTAGACCCAGGACTGAGGCCGTAGACCCAGGACTGAGGCCGTAGACCCAGGACTGAGGCCGTAGACTCAGGACTGAGGCCGTAGACCCAGGACTGAGGCCGTAGACTCAGGACTGAGGCCGTAGACCCAGGACTGAGGCCGTAGACTCAGGACTGAGGCCGTAGACCCAGGACTGAGGCCGTAGACCCAGGACTGAGGCCGTAGACCCAGGACTGAGGCCGTAGACCCAGGACTGAGGCCGTAGACTCAGGACTGAGGCCGTAGACCCAGGACTGAGGCCGTAGACCCAGGACTGAGGCCGTAGACTCAGGACTGAGGCCGTAGACCCAGGACTGAGGCTGCCAATCATTCTAGTCCTGCTTCTGTTGCAGATTTGGGAAACATGATTCTCCGTCAGCAGATGGCTCCTCCGGCTCCGGTCTGCAGCTCCACCTTTACTCCCCTCCCCATGCCCTCCGTCACCATCAACCATGGCCCCGGAAAGCCCTTTCTCCCACGCCACCTCCCCCCTCTGCCCGCACGCCTCCCCCACAACCCTCTCCCCTCCCACAACCCTGGCCTCCCCCATCTCTCCATGCAGGACCTGAAATGTTTGGAGTCTCAGCTTCAGGGGGGTGGGTCTCAACCTCTGTACCACCTCCCACTGCAGACAGACCCCGCCCAAAACCAGACGCAATGGTCCCAGTTCAGCCCCATGCAGAGCGGGTATAACGGAGTGGTACCAGGAGGAGGCGAAGGAGGAGGTGGGGGAGGAGGAGACGGGGGAGGAGGAGGTGGGGGGCTCGGGTTCAACTTTCTGGACCAGTTTGACGGCGGGAACCTGCTGCAGAGTCTGGTGGGAGATTCACCGGGAGCGTTCATGATGAAGCAGGAGCCGCAGCCGGCGTTTGGGTTGGACCCGGCCGCTCTCTCGCCGCGGGAGAACACCACTTACACCACGCTGGGGGACGTTCAGGAGCGAAAACACGCCACTAACAATGACAGCAGTGTGCAGCAGGGGGCGCACTACGCAACGATAGAGGACTGGTTAAAGTCCAGTCATTAATAACAGATGTGTTTACAGTTGTTAGTTCAAAGAGACTGAAGTTCAGCACAAATACAAATGCAATGAAAGTCTGTGTTTTCATCAGTGGGGGAGGGTCCCGGCTCAAAAGTGGCCAAAATGAGGTGCGCTGACATGCTGCAATACCACCCCGGGCCGATGGGGGTGGACCCGGAATAAGAATTAGCCAATGCTAACATATAGCATTGGCAGACCTCTCGAAAACGTCTTCACAGGATGGTCCAAAATTTGGCTCTTGGCCCAAAGCTCCGTTCCACATGTGTGTCAATGCTGAGGGGGGTGTTTTGGACCAGTCTACCCTTTGTATCCAACTCGTTAGCAGCACTTGCTTACACTCACAGGAGAAACTCAGGCCGGAGCAAGCCCCAGTGATCCAAGATGGCATCTTATTCAAATCAATGGCTTGTACTCAGTGGCGCATGTGCCGCCACGGGCACTGAAACTTGAAGAAGTACTTGACCATTTATGGGCATTGTCGGGTCCCCCCGGTTCTGCGCAGTGGATGAGCTCCCATGATGTATTGCGCCAAATCCGCACTAAAGTGTGGATTTTAAGAAAACCAAAGGATTTAAATGGATAAATTCAGGATAACAAGGGACATTAAAATCCCCACATAATCCAACCTTTGACAGCTGTAGGTTCTCTTTCAGGTTCTCTTACAGCTGAGGTTGAGTTGTTTTAGTTTACATTGAGTTCTTTGGGGAACATTTCAGCGTAGACCACATGAATTTAGTCTTGTTTAGTCTGCAGTACCTCGAGAATCCCCAGAGCACATGGGTCCTTCACACGGACGTACGTCCTCATTGACACTGCAGTGAAACTCGACGCAGTCCATCGTCCGGTCTGAAATATGATTATGAAATTATTGAAATCCCCCGGAGTCTTGACCCTGGTGCTGGAGAGCTGATGACACGGCGAGAAGTCCAATTGTTGAGCTGGTTCTGGGGACGAGGAGAGTTGCGGCACCGGCTGAAAGCTAAGTGAAGATGAAGCCAGGCCTGTTTAAAGCTGGGGTACCTCACTTTTTGGCTTCGTAGATAATACAGTTTGTTGTTTATCCCCTACAGAAAGAGTCTCAGACCACAATCTGCTGTCATTATATCAATAGAAAACGTGTATCTATTGCATAACAAAGATCCCTGTAAGTCACATTTTGCCTCTTTGGGCTGAGAGCTGATGGGCTGAGGACGGGTGGTCCTCTCTTTGTCACTTTTCAGTCTGAGAAAAATGATTTAAAGATGTGGCAGAGGCGCTTTTTGCGTTGTTTGAAAGTTCCATGAGTTTTAATATAAAGGTACTTGATTTGACTAAAATTCTACATGATAATTTCTTCTCTTTCATCCATGGTACAGTTGTTTTGTTTTTGTATTTTTATCACTGGAAAAAATGTCTTATGAACTAGTGAATGTACTACTGATGCTCAGGTCTCACAGCGGGTGACCAGTAGGGGGCGCTGGTGTTGATATGATGTTGGATTCATTCATTCATGTAAATATTTATGTTTTTATGTGTTGAGCGCTTAAGCTGTTTTTTCATATTGGCTCACTGACCAGAGAGAGAGAGAGGCCAGAGAGAGAGAGAAGCCAGAGGGAGAGAGAGAGAGAGGCCAGAGGGAGAGAGAGAGAGGCCAGAGAGAGAGAGGGGCCAGAGGGAGAGAGAGAGGGGCCAGAGGGAGAGAGAGAGAGGCCAGAGAGAGAGAGGGGCCAGAGGGAGAGAGAGAGAGAGTGAGGCCAGAGGGAGGCAGAGGGAGAGAGAGGCCAGAGCGAGAGAAAGGCCAGAGGGAGAGAGAGAGAGGCCAGAGAGAGAGAGGGGCCAGAGGGAGAGAGAGAGAGGCCAGAGAGAGAGAGGGGCCAGAGGGAGAGAGAGAGAGGCCAGAGAGAGAGAGGGGCCAGAGGGGGAGAGAGAGAGAGTGAGGCCAGAGGGAGGCAGAGGGAGAGAGAGGCCAGAGCGAGAGAAAGGCCAGAGGGAGAGAGAGGGGCCAGGGAGAGTGAGGCCAGAGGGAGAGTGAGGCCAGAGAGAGAGAGAGAGAGAGAGGCCAGAGAGAGAGAGACCAGGTCTGCTGTAAAGTTACTGTTCTTTAACAATGTATATAAATGTGCAAGTGACCAAAATAAAACGTTATTAATGTGTGAGTGTCATGTGTGTGTTTTAAAGCTGGTATACCTAACTTTCAAACCACAACAATTTAACTCTTAATAAACACATGTCTCCGGTTCCCGGCACTAAAACCATTTGCTTCTATCACTGCTTTGCATGTGTTTCTGTCTCTCACAAATATGTTTTTTATTCATTTTATCTTATTTCATTATTTCTAAAAAGCTGTCTACTTGTCCCAGTCACTTGAACTGAGTCTAAAGTCCACCTGTTTTAACTCCACCATGTGACGTCACAACTGGAAACAACAGGACAAACTAGTTCAGGCTCTTACCGTAAACATCACTCGTCTTTCTGCCAAAACTCTGCCCCCGTTTCTCATCCATTATTTATAGCTGCACCGCACCTTGTCTGATATTCAGTGTTTGAAAAGAACGGGAGAGATTTACCAGAGGGACACCACAGAGGGACTGGAGAGAGACCACAGAGGGACTGGAGAGGGACCACAGAGGGACTGGAGAGAGACCACAGAGGGACTGGAGAGGGACCACAGAGGGACTGGAGAGAGACCACAGCGATGAACAAGAGAGAGATATTATGTTTATGTATCCAGGATTCATTTTTATCCATGTATTCTATTATATTGTGCAAAAAAAGTGCTGTGTTTAGATCTATCCAGGCTATATCAGGAACAGGCATAAACTTGTAGCTCCGCCCCTTATGTCAAAAACCTCCTGTTTTAGTTCCATAGACTAGAGCATATATTAAGAATGCAGAAGAAACAGTTTCATTGTTTTGGCATTTGTTTTGATGGCGTTAGCTTTGCGATGTAAGAGGGGTAGACGTGTTGCTAAGAAGGTTGCAGAAGGCAAACAGGAGTTGCCTCCGCAATTTTTCTGGTGAAAAATTATGTGGCCTGCACCTTCACTCAGCCAATCAGCTCTTAGCCTAAAGAGTCAAATAGTGACTCACAGGGCTATTTCTTGCATGTATTCGAAATTCTTATTTTATGAGATCAAGACAGCACCAGCAGTTGTTATGAATCGTATAGTATAGTATCGGATGTAGTAGTAGCAGTGCTTCTGTTAGTGGTAGTAGTAACAGCAGCAGTAGTATATAGTATAGTATTGGCTGTAGATTCTGAGTGAGAGCATTTTCCATTTAATATATAGACTATTTCTCTGCATAACACCACCACCTGCTGGACACATACACATACTACACGTGTCACTGTGCTACTTCAAGGGCAAAAAAAATGCCAGTCAAGTTACACGTATCTTTCTTTCCAAATAAATACATGTTCCTATCAGACCAAATAAGTGCATTTCATTTCCAGGTTAAAGGTGTAATAGAACGTTTACACTACATTAGGGGTGGTAAAACGATTACAATTTTTAATAGAGTTAATTACGGCTTGAAAATTATCGTAATTAATCGCATTTCAAATTATGGAAAAAATTATGGGCATATTTTTCCAGTACAGGAGTCGCATGTCAGACCTATTGTTTGACCTATGTTTTTAGTGGTAGGGGAAACCGTAACACCTGGAGGAAACCTGCGCGGACACAAGGAAAACATGCAAACTCCACTCAGAAAGGTCCTGTTCGACCAGGATTCCAACCCAGGACCTTCTTGCTGAGAATAAAAAGTGCTATCACTAGGGCTGGGAACTTTGGTCGTTTAGTCGACTAATGGTCGATGCCGTCGAGGGCGACTAAGATTTTCTGTTGGGTCGACTAGACTTTAAGCAGGGGCTTTCAATTTCAGCATTAAAAGTGAATTAATATGCAAACAGTAAAATTACAATGAGTGACATTTGGCGATTTTAATTTCAGCCTACTTATTTAGTAAGTTCAGACAAAGTTTCGCTGCTGTCAATTAAGTGTATTACGCAACACTGATGTGCTCAGTACACGTGCTTGGCAGACAGCACTAACTTGCCTGCAAGCTGAATTCTATTTGTAGTTCACAAACACTCGAGAATACATCTTGTCCGCTCCCGCTTACACTTTTCGAGTCGAACCACTGGGTGTGCGAATACAATCACGCGCCAGTTCTGGGTGGTTTTAGGGCGGGATATCGGGTTTGCCCAGACAGCACGGCACCGCAGCATCAATCTGAATCTCATCCGCATCAGTAGGCTATTGGCGCAAGTTATTTTGTTTAAAAATGTCTAGAAAGTCCAAGTCTTTCGTTTGGCAACATTATTAGTTGAAACAGACGACAAAACTGTCGAATGTAATTTATGTAAGCAAAAGTTCACTTACCACAGCTCGACGACAAACATGGCCTACCATTTGAAACAGGTACAGTATGCTAGATTTATTAAAGCTTGTTAAAGGCATCTGTGGACACTTGCGTTTAATGTGAATTATGTAAACTTTATAGGCACATCCCCAAGTCATACAAACACAAGATGCTGCAACAGGCACGCAAACTAAACTCGACATGGCCTATCCTCTGTCTGCAAAGAAGAAAGGCGAAATAACCAAATCCATTGTAAATTTCATTGCCAAAGATATGAGGCCATTGAATATCGTGGAAGGAGATGGCTTTAGAGAAATGATTAAAACACTGGAGCCAAGGTTCACAATCCCAGCAAGGAAGACATTGAAGGGCGAAATAACCGTGCGCTTTGAGGAAGTAAAAGAGAAAATCCATCAGTCTTTGCAACGTGCCCGAGCAGTTAGTTTTACTACAGATTTGTGGTCATCTCTGCGGATGGAAGCATACATAACGGTGACCGCTCATTACATAAATGCAGATTGGAAGATGCAAAGTATTGTGCTTGAAACAAGGCAAATGGAAGAGGCGCATACGGGGGCGAATATCGCGGCACGACTGACTGAAGTTGCAGACGCGTTTCGCATCCCTGAAGAAATGCGAGT